ATCTTGGGGGTTTTCGTATAGAAAACTAGATTTGTGTTCATAAAAAGTTGACTTGGAGGCAACACGACAGAGATCAGCTGCAGAGAATTGTTTACTTTTAACGCAAAAGTTACAGTTGTCTGGTATTTCTTGCAATAGAACAAAGAGGAGGCTTTTACTCATGTAATGAAATTAATTTTAGTAACATGTCATGTGGGCTGTTTGGTTACTTTTAAAAGGAGAGTAGACAAATTTGTGGGGTGCTTTATATCCACCTCCAGCATCAGAGGCAGATGCTTCTGAATAATACCATTTGCTGCTGAACACAAGTGGGAAGGTGCTATTGCGCTCATGTTATTGCGTGAGGCCAGAGGCATCTGGTCAAAATACACTGTAGGAACAGAATACTTTGATAAATAAACAGGCCTTTAGTCTGATCCAACCCAACCCAACTCTTCTTATGCTTTTATATTACATGCCAGACCAAATAATGGATATATAGCAATAAAAATGACAAGGTATGTTAGCCTTCCATATGCAGTAGCTATAAATATCTAAGTACCAGATACCACGGCCAGACAATATATTAGGGACTTTGCTTTCACAACCTTATGGGATTTCAAAGCTATCTGGTTGCTCATTGCTGGATGCAAAATTTGAACTAAATCAATCTTGGCCTGATCAACTTTATTTTCACGTGAAGATTGTATGATAAATGTAGTTGTTCAGATTGAGTGAAGATCTACATAAACAAATTGGTAGTTGGGGGCTTTTTGCACATGGAAGCAATAAAGTATTCTTACTCAATATGGAAATAGAAGAAATTATTCCAACATAAAAAGTGAGAGTAGGGGTGGGGGGTGGCTCCAAATAAACCCTTTCCATCCACACACTAGTGGCTAAAGAGCTATTTCCCTTCCCACAGGGAAAGAGAGATAACAGAATAACAGAGTTGGAAGGGACCTTGGAGGCAGTGGTTCAAATACCTGAACAACTGGTTCTCTGTATGGATGGAGGTGTGGGCCTCTGAGGCCTAGAACGGACGTCGGAAGTGGCATCCACGCACTTCCGGCAGGCTGTTCTAGGCTTGGGAGTCCTCCTTCCAGAAGCAGTTTAGCTACCCGCTCTGCCGAACCAGTGCGAACCCAGTTTGGAGGTCTTCTAGCACAACCTCCTGCTCAAGCAGGAAACCTTGTACCATTTCAGCCAAATGATTGTCCAATCTCTTCTTAAAAACTTCCAGTATTGGAACATTCATAATTTCTGGAGGCAAGTTGTTCCACTGATTAATTGTTCTCATTGTCAGGAAATTTCTCCTTAGTTCTAGGTTGCTTCTCTTCTTGATTAGTTTCCATCCATTGCTTCTTGTCCTGCCTTCAGGCGCTTTGGAGAATAGCTTGACTCCCTCTTCTTTGTGGTAGCCCCTTAGATATTGGAGCACTGCTGTCATGTCACCCCTAGTCCTTTTTTTCATTAAGCTAGACATACCCAAATGAGATGGAATCAGCTCTTCAGTTGCTCCCCCATGATAAAGCTTTACTGTGGTGTCTTATGCAGAATTGTTTGGAACTTGTACTTCAGCAAGCATTGCCCTGAAAGTTTGATGTGAAGTGCCAGAGCCACAGAGGAAGCATTCAAGGCACAAATGATCAGACTTGGCATGATGTGCTTCAGATGGATTGAATGGCACAGTTTGTGCCATAAGAAACTGAGAAAAGGCACACTTTAAAATTGGAGCAGGAAAAAATCATTCAGGCTGCTTGACTCAGGTCAAAGCTGAGTTCATTTAGCAATCAACAATGTCATCAATTCACATCCTTACATTTGTTTTTTAACTCATTGATTCCTGAACTGGGGTTAGCAGTTCAGGAAGAGCCTAGAATCATAAAACCAACAGATCTAAAGTAATGTTTTTGCTTGGTATAAAATCCAGGCTAAATAGGAAGACATTTAATGTTCTTCATCTCCACAAGCAACCAATCTATATATAATCCTGCTTCAGGGCCTGGAAGAACTTGACAGCACATACTCTAATCAATGGTTCTTAGACTTACGACATGAAGTTACAGCACATAAAGCTTCTAGTTTGTGTTTATGTGGCTCCACTAAGATTTCAGAAGGGTGAAGTTCCAAAAAGACTTCAGTGATATGAGGGGGGGGGGGGGGGGAAGAGTTCATAGCAAGATATTAAATTCCTAGTTATATAGAAAATTAAAGGCTGTGTACAAATATTCTCCCTCCCTCCCTCTCTCTCTCTCTCTCTTTATATATATACATATATTCAGGACATATACCCATTCAATTTTGCTAACAATCGTTGGAAAGGAACAAGTAAAAAGAGGCTCTTCATATGCATTGCAAAACTTATTGGGGGATTGTCTTTCTTAAGTGGCTCTTCCAAGATAATTGTTTCTTCATCAGTTTGGGCACACTGTTCTGCTTTTATTCTTTTTAGCTGAAGTTCATGTCATAGTTTGTCTTGTACTGTTAGTAGGTCTTTTTGCCTTTCTTTCTATCCTTTTTAGTTAAACAATTTATGCTATCTAAATGTGGAGAAATGTTCTTTGTTGGTTGAAATCCTTTGTTACTGAAGTAGAGCAAGAGAATAGATATATTCCAAACTGATAATAACTCTCATGTCTGATACTTAATAAAAACATTTATTCCACTGTTAGTAACTCAAGATGGAAAGAACGACAACAAAAAAGTCAAAACAAAACATAGCGTTCTTTTCATTTAAGAATCTCTTTTACAGACATGGTAAAACATTTCATGATTGTTACTGCTCTCTGTTATACAATACATTTGAACTGGAAAATGAAAAGGATGGATCACATGAACAAGGACAATTTAATTCAATTCCTCGTAATGCTAGAATCCAAAACATACCATGTCAGATGTGGATAACATGAAAAGATGAGAGTGGGAACAACTGTTGTTGTGCAGATCAGTCCTAAATGTGAGAAGTAATAATTATTTAAAAAGACAGATCTGATATAATAACAAGGCATGTACACATGAGACCGGGCTGCAAACATCCAGACAATTATTACATGACTGCAAAGAGATACTGAAAACTCTCTTTGCTGCTGTCTGGTGGTAGTCCAATTTTTTGTAGCCTAAGTGTAAGCTTGTTGAAACATGGAAGGTAATGTGAGCGAAGTAACTATAGAAAGTATACATAGAAGGCTCTGTATAATTTAGGTTTACACAGGTACTCTTCAATTTACAACCACATTTGAGCCCAAAATTTCCAACGCTAAGCAAGACAGTTAAGTGAGTTTTGCCTCAGTTGTTAAGTGAATCACTGCAGTTGTTAACTTAGCAACATGGTACTTAAGTGCACTTCTGGCTTCCCCACTGACTTTGCTGGTCAGGTCACAAAAGGTGACCACATGACTGCATGACACTGTGACCGTCATAAATACATACCAGTTGCCGAGCATTTGAATTCTGATGACGTGACCATGGAGATGCTGCAATGATTGTAAATGTGAAAAACGGTCATAAGTCACTTTTTTCAGTGCCATTGTAACTTCGGTCATTAAACGAATGTTGGTAAGGATTTCCTGTAGTACTGGCTTTTATTTGATTTCCTTCAGTCATTTAACCCACAGGATCTGCCATATCCTGGGCAATAACATGCCCTTTGAATTAAAGGCAGATAGGTTGTACTAAATGAGGCAAAATATATTGGAAATACAGTATTCAACTATTTTTTTTCTCATATAAGGAACTTTCCCTCTTTTTTCTTTTTTAAAAAAACATGGAGTAGGTTTCAAACACCAGAAGTTCTTCACCTGGCCAAGTTTCCGGATGACCGCGATCACTACTCGACCACTCAAGGAGAGAAAAAAAAGGTAAGGCGTCCCGCACCGGGAGCTGAAAGTTACGGAGACTGTTCAAGCAAGTTGCTAGGCAACCTGTTCACGCTCGGCCCTTCTTACCCTCCCACTTTTGAATTAGCCGGTACGGAACGCGTTTCCTTCGATTTGAGCCATCTGAAGGCCCGTCGCTGCGATGCATTCTGGTCCTCGGCAATATGGCTGCCTCCTTGGTGTGCTGCTGAGGAGAATTTGGCTCTCCGGAACAGTTTCCTTCAGCTTCTCCAACCCCGCTACTTGGGGAACTTCTCCGCGAAGAGGAACCAGCAGCTGTCCGAGTCGGGGAACATAATGGGTCGAATTGGGCGCCCCCCGTTGCAGCCGCGCAAAAAGCAGGCACCTCCGCGGGGGTAGGACGATTATTCCCCTCTGGCTGCACGCTGTCGGAAACGGGCCCAGGAGGGAGAGTCCATCTCATCGCTTGGTCCAGCGTGATCTCCAAGGGGTGATCTTGGCGGCGAGCTGCTTTCTAAGAACAGATACAGTCAAGCCTGGAACAGAGAGGTGCCTACGGCCAAATCGTTCTTTTCTTTCCGAATTCCTCCTTATCCTGTTTGCTAGTTTTGCCTTAAACGGGAGATCAAAGTGCAAGCCTCTCCTTTGTAGCTGTACTGTGAAGAGAATCCTGCGCTCAGATTCTTCACGTCTGAATCCAGGTCGACTCACTGGAGTTCACAGTATATTCTAACACCCCATCAAAAATAAGAAGAGAAATCTTAACGAGAGTATATGTTGAACAGCACTGCCACAGTTGCTTGAGAAGTGATAATTTGTCTGACTCTCCAACTTGGATAGCACTGATTTCTCAACTTCTGCTTTTCCTCCAATTTCTCTACAGTATGTAGCACAAGGCATCAGCCTTGTTCTGAGCAAGAGAGACAAGTGTGGTTATCACTGCAGCTTTTCTACTTTAGCTGTGATTGAAGTGCTCAGCTACATAGAAAGCCATGTTTTCTATCTAAAATACTTTTAGACTGATCATATCAAACTTTGTTTCAAGTGTGCATTGTCTGATAGTCTTCTCCTAAATTAAATCATTGTATTGTGGGCAGGAACTTTTTCAATAAAAAGAGTTATCTGTGATCACCCTATATCTCTTGAATATTGAGATAATATCCTGTTCCTGAAGAAGGATTAAAAAAAATCCATGTACACATCTGTGATCATTATTTCATCTAGACAACAATAGATCATTGACTACCAGATAGTTTTCCCTTGTGTAGTGATTACATTATTCCCTGAGATTGTCCATTCTGCACAGGAATTTTCCAGCTGCTGTACAGGGAACACTGTTATACAGTTTAACAATAACATTCATGCCTCTATTTTGAAAAAAGCATCTTCTCATAAAACATAAACCTAAACAACAACTAACATAGTGTCTTGTTATCCAGTTACTTCTCTTAAAACATTTCCTTGGAGTAGTGATTTTTTTCTCTACTGGTGACTTTGGTCCCTACTTTTCCTGATGGAGTCTGATATGCTGCAGTCACCCCTCCTGGGTCTCGGGGAGGAAGATGAGTCAGACATGACGGACTGGAATTTGCCTTTGGCCTTTATGAAGAAGAGGCACTGTGAGAAAATTGAGGGCTCCAAATCACTGGCTCAGAGTTGGCGGATGAAAGACCGGGTAATGATCTCTAGCAGAAACTTTTTATTTGGAAAGAAGGGATTCTCTTGCTGTGATTAATTTGGGGGTATACGCCTTGTCCTTAGTGAAGCCACAAAGTTTTTCTAACTCTGGGATTTCTTTAATCTTGAAAATTTGTTAAATTGTTACAGTGCATGCTAATAAACAAATCACGAATGCAGTTAAGAGAGATTTAAAGTTTGTACTTTGTCTTTTAAATAATAAATATATTTATTTAATAATATGATAATTTACTGTTTGGGAAATTATCTGGATGGAGAATAATCAATGAATGAATGTCAAGCAGTTTGTATTTCTGATAAACCTCATTGCTTGATTTTGTTAGCCGTACATTGAACACCATATTGTATTTATTATATGTTTAATCAAAACCGGACTCAACAGTACTACAGAAGTTGGAAGGCCTGTAGATTTTAACAGCTTTAGAATCTTAGGAGACCTTGGGTAAAATAAGTTGCTTTTGGAAGTGATATTACACTTACAGTCTGCATGTTAGCTCTTATGACATATTTATTTTATTTTTAATTTATTTAAGAAAATTTATATGGCTGCTAAATTCTTAGTGATTCCAGGTGGCTTACCAAGATAAAAATCTCATGTAAAAACAATAAAAAGCAATACCCCCCACCCTTCTGGTGATAATAGTCAGTCAGATAAACCCCTTGATGAGCTCCATCCCACTCTGGGTTGCTCAGGCCTGTTGTCAAAACTAGGCCTTCAAAAAGAGTATCAAAGTGAGGGCCAATCTTATTTCTGTGGGGATGATGTTCCACAAGGAGGCAGCTATCATAGAGAAGCCTCTTCTTGGTCCCACTAGATGTACCTCCTTAGGAGAGTGGATTTGTAGCGTTCCTTGCCTCCCCACTCTGTTTAGGTCGGGTAGATATGACTGGGAGAAGACGGTCCTTAAATAACATATGTGAAAAATTAATTTGTTGCATTTGAATTCTTTAGGAAGTTGAAGTTATCAGCTAACCAGTCAAAACATCCAACAGTAGTTTAAAAAGTGATCCAATGAGATAAATAAGATAAGTTTATCAGTGATGTAACTTCGGGCTTTATGTTTTTGTTTGGAATGTTGTGAAAATTAACTGGTTGACTAGGATTACAGTCTCATAAATATACATGCACACTTGTTTTTTTGCTGGGTCCTATTTTTCTGTTTAATCACAGAGACCAAATGGTAATGCTGAGAAGAAAATATTTTGTCTGTTCAAATATAATCTAATCCTTCACTACGGTGCTGGATTGTAGTTAATTACGCTATTGTGCAAGTGCCTAGGAAACCCTCTTTTTTGGTGCAGCAATTCTATGAAAGTGGGCTATTATTGCAATAACAGAAAGTAAATTAGAACTACTTTGTATAGCAAAATCTGCCAAATACAATAGCAAGGGAGCTGGCAGCAGTTTTGTAGTGCTTAAGACAAATAAAATTAGCAAACGGAATTTGGCTCTATGATCCAGGGGCATTAGCTAGCAGTAATTGTTGCTTATTTGATTTTATATCCTATTTATCAGTTGTTTTGTTGCCATGCAGCTTACCAGGTAATATTTATTTTTAAATTTGTCTTGTGTTATGCTAAACTTAATTTTAGCAAGATGTGATATGAATTTACAGTAGTTCCATTTTGTACTTCCATGTACTTCCTCTCCTCGCATCTCACAGTGAAGAGTAGGGAGCTGTTGTTGTTAGTTGCGAAGTTGTGTCCGACCCATCGCGATCCCATGGACAACATTCCTCCAGGCCTTCCTACCATCTTCTGGAGTCCATTTAAGCTCACGCCTACTGCTTCAGTGACTCCATCCAGCCACCTCATTCTCTGTCGCCCCCTTCTTCTATTGCCCTCAATCTTTCCCAGCATTAGGCCCTTCTCCAGTGAGTCCTTCCTTCTCATTAGGTGGCCAAAGTACTTGAGTTTCAACTTCAGGATCTGGCCTTCTAAGGAGCAGTCGGGGTTGATTTCTTCTAGGACTGACCGGTTTGAACGCCTTGCAGTCCAAGGGACTCGCAGGAGTCTTCTCCAGCACCATAGTTCAAAGGCCTCAATTCTTTGGCGCTCAGCCTTTCTTACGGTCCAACTTTCACAGCCATACATTGCAACTGGGAAAAGTAGGAGATAGGGAATGTATATTTATCTTTTCATTAACCACAGCTTTTTGTATAATCTGAACTAGTGTACTTTAATAAGTTTCAAATAAGCTTTCAATCTATATTCAAGATGAGCTACAATTCCAATTGTGGACAACATAGCCAGCAATGCTTATTCAGAATCAAAGGTGAAAGTTTCTCAGTTCTTTGTGGCTGCATAGAAAGATGCGGAGAATCCACATATTCAGGAAGAGGCTTGGTTTATACACCTCTTAATAAATATCCAAATACTGTCAGTGTCATGACCTACATCCTTTGGATATTTTATTTAAGCATTCCATTCTACCAAGTGGGATTTACTTTTGAGAAAATATCTTTGGGATCAGATGAGATAAATGGTATAACGGTGTCTTTGACTCCTTTCCTGCAGTCACCGTTTCAACTATGTAGCAACAATGTCGCATGGCAGCCTGCAAATCTCCCCTCCTCTTCTTGAGCTGGCTGGTGTTCCTTCCAGCTATCCAGTGGAGCATAGAAATGGCAACTAAACATAACCCCACCTATTTGTCTTTTCTTGCTGTATTTGCTTTTTGAAGTAAGAAAAAAGACATGCAAGGGGATGGGCCTTTGTGTGAGGCAGCATTATAGCACCTTAACCTCAAAAGGGGATGGGAAACCAGGATGAGATGGGAATGTCTCTCAATGGGCAGCTGTTCATCCTGCAGTATCACTGATTTTCTTTTGGACTAGAAGCTGAACTGATTAATTTCTGAAGTTGATTGTCTGAGCACAAGAAACAACATGGCATGCAGGGACATTATAGATGAAATGCTTTCTTAAAATTTTGCTAATGCAGAAAGCCCTTGACTTTACAACCGTTCATTTAGGGTGTGTTCAAACTTACAACAACTTATAATCAGTTTTCACACTTATGACAGTTGCAGCATCCCCATGATCATGTGATCAAAATTCAGACGCTTGGCAACTTGGTGTGTATTTGTAAGAGTTACACTGTCCCAGGGTCATCTGATCACAATTTGTAACCTTCCCAGCTGATTTCTGACAAACAAAGTCAATGGGGGCAGCGAGTTTCACTTAACAATAGCAGTGTTTCACTGAACAACTGGGAAGAAAGATCGTAAAATTGAGCAAAACTCACTTAACAATAAGCTTGTTTAGCAGTGGAAATGTTGGGCTCAATTGTGGTCATATATCGTGGATGACCTGTAAATAATTTTAATAACAAAAAAAAAATGAAGTTGTTTGAATAGAAGATTTTTCAATGTCTTACGGGTTGTGAGAAAATCTATATTTAAAGGAACTCAGTAATAAATCTGACTAATATTGTAATATATTTATTACCAGAATTCTGTAATGTCATAAAGGGTTTATTCTTCCCAGCATGCTCCATGGCATTTGTAGGCTATCAAAATGAAACTCCTTTGATCTATTATTTATTCAAAGTTTTTTTTATAAACAGTAGGAATTGTGCTTTGAATGTAGAATTAAATCTCAGCTCTGCTAGTTCATTAAAACTAGAGTCCTGAATATGTTGAATTTTAACTTACAAATGGCTGTTGAAATAAGAATTGAGCCACTTTTACTCTGTTTCATTTCTAAAGGATATGGGAAACAAAAATCTGTTATGCAAAGTTTTTTTTTATTCTTGTTGCTTCATTATCCACTGAAGGTTACCCAAGTAAATGAAGTATTTTGATAAACAAAATAACCAGCCAAGAATTGAAATTTCTCCTTAAGCAGATACAAGTAGTGCTGCATTTAGTGACCATTCAAAGTTATAACAGCACTGAAAACATGACTTATGACCATTTTTCACACTTACGAACATTGAAGCATCCCCATGGTCACATGATCAAAACTCAGATACTTCACAACTGGTTCATATTTATGACGGTTGTAGTGTCCTGGGGTCATGTGATCAGCTTTTGTGACCACCTAACAAGCAAAGTCAGTGGGGAAGCCAGATTCACTTAACAACCAGGTTACTAACTTAACAAATGATTCACTTAACAACTGTGACAAGAAAAGTTCTAAAATGGGGCAAAACTCACTTAACAAATATTTCACTTATCAACATAAATTTTGGGCTCAATTGTGGTCGTAACTCGAGGACTACCTGTAATATATTTCCAGTGGAAAGCAAAACTATAGAAATGACTATAAAGTAATAAAACCTTTATTTAAATGACACACAGTGTTTCTGTATTAATGGATAGATTTATTGCCAACTTAAAAAAAATACAGGTAGAAATTTTTCATTCTCAAAGTTTATTACTGGGTATTATGATCAGTGCTTCTAATTTGGTTTTAGTGGTTGGGGAGGAAGATGCAGATTTTGCTATATTTTGTAGTAGGATTGTGTATATTTAAGTTTGAGTGGATGGGGGAAGTTTGCTTTAAAGCAGTACTAAGGGAAAAATTGAACTACTTTTCCACTTCACTGCATTCATATTTTAAGGGATTGAATGCAGGGCCATCTTCTTTTCATTGGTCCTTGTCCCTTCTCCATTACCCCAACTAATTCTGTGGGGGAAATCATGCAGTGATAAGAACAGGAACTCAGATGTACATGAAAGAAACCTGTGAATAAATTGTCAGTGTATCCATTTCTTCTTATAAAGAAATTTGAAGGTTTTAAAGGGTATCTTAGTTTATATACCAAGGGTAGGGTTGAAACAAGGTTAAATAACATGGAAAAATCGTTTAACTGTAAGGTTTGATATAAGGTTTATAGGCACTAATCTGCAAGAAAACGCCTTAGTGTATTTACAGTTATTAAGAAAAAAATCATTTACAAATATTTGCTTTAATTGTGAAAGCATTTTAAGTAAAACAGGAGTCAGTAAAGTATGGTAAGCATTACTCAAAT